CATCAGTCTGACTATACATTAAGTTGTTAAGTGTGGTCAAATCAGTTCCGACTCATAGCGAGCCTGTATAAGGTTTCCCAGGAGCCACTGTTAGCAGTCCAGTGCTTATCTCGTAGTGCCACCCCAGGGCTCCTGACTACACATGATGTAGCAGGAAAGACTGAGTCTGGAGTCAGGCTCAGGAAGGAGGTCTAGGCCATGTGTAGACGCACACAGAAAGTCTTCTCCCGCATCCTAGTAGGAGTCAGGGAAGGATGATGGAGACACTTCCTGTGGAAGGAACCCTCTCCTGGCACCTGCAGAGAAGGCCGTTCCTCAGATTCTCTAGGTCTTAAGAATGGGAGAAAGTTCACAGTTGGCCGACATTGCCTCTGCCGCTGTTTTCACAGAGGTGAAAGGTTTTATTACGAGACAGAAATACGATTCTTGAACAAGAAGCACCTTCAGCAGAGAGAAGCCCTCCTGCTGACCCTTTCCATACATGGTCACCTTAGGGGACTCACCCTCCATGGGAATAAGCTTCTCAGCTATGGAGGCTGGGCTCACGCAGGGCTATTGATGGAGCTGAGTTTTGCAGCCCCACATCTGCTCTCATGGCCGAGTGTCCGATGGGTATCCCTCAGCCATCTTCTCTTTCCTCCCTGGAGCCTTCGTGAGGGTCCTTGCTGCTGACCAGGGCTCTGCCTTCAAGGAGATGTGGAAGGAATGCTGTACCCATCCACTGAGTGTCTCAGCTCCCTAGCTCTGCGGTAACAGAAATGCCACAAGTGCTGGCCACTGTTACAAAGAGAAATGTTGTTTCTCACAGCTCAGGAAGCTTGATGCAGGAATTCAGGGCACCAGCTCCAGGGGAAAGCACTCTCTGTCCATCCATCCATCCATCCATCCATCCATCCATCCATCCATCCATCCATCTATCTATCTATCTATCTATCTATCTATCTATCTATCTATCTATCTATCTATCTATCTCTCGCTCTCTCCGTCTCTGTCTGTCGGCTCTCGGGAAGATCCTTGCCTCTTTTCAGCTTCTGTTTCATGGTATTTATAATGCCTGGTGTCTCTCTTCCCCCATCCCTTATTACCTTGCTTCCTTGTTAATCTCTTTATATTTCAAGAGATATTACTTTAAGGTTCCCCCTATACTTCATTAATATAGCAAAGGAAATTCATTCACAAATGGGGTGGTAACCTCAGGCATTTGCAGCACGTATTTAGGGGGGGACACTTTAATTAAGTCCACCATGACACAGAGGGCATGTTCTGTACCCGTAGCTGTGAGGGACTGGCCTTTTCTCTTGTTACTTTCTGCCTATTGTTTAGTTTCTTCACGGTTCTTGTATTTTTCCTGATGCAGTGTATGGCTAACTACAAGGTCAGTAGTTTAATCTACCAAATGCTTCTCAGAAACCCCAAGCAGGATCACAGTGAGTCGGAACCGACTCTCCAGCACTTCACAACAATAACAACAACAACCTCACAGATGGGCTTTCTGGTGTGGTGCCATAGGTTCAAAACCAGACTGTAAACAGCAAGGTCAGCGGTTCAAATCCACCAGCCGCTCCTTGGAAACCTTATACCGAGTTGCTATGAGTCGGAACCGACTTGACAGCACTTTACACCAATAACAGCAATAACCTCACAGATGGGATTTGTGGTGTAGCATTGTAGGATCAACTCCGGACTGTGAACCTCAAGGTCAGCAGTTCAAACTGCACCCCGGAAATGCTATGTAGGGTCACTATGAGTCGGAACCGACTGGACAGTTCTCAACAATAACACCTCACATATGGAGAGGAATCTGTGTCTGTTCCTACTGTGGTCTCCTTGTGACTCTCCAGGGCAGGTGGGACCAGGCAAAGCCACTTGTTGGTAAAATTTTCCCAAGAACTGTTCAGTGTTTCCATGTGTGTTGGGAGGATACTGTTCAGACTGTGTCTGGGGGGGTCCCTGTGCTTCCTGCATGCACCCACAACCTCCTGTTGCTTGGACATGTAGGGGTTGCCATTCTTGTTTTCTTTCATTGGTAACTTTTAATACTGTGTCTTCATTGTTTATTGCTAGATTCCAATTGTCTTCTGTCCTGGTGACCTTTGGTTTTGTGTCTGTATTGAATTGATCTTCTTGTCATGAGATGCTTTGGGTTTTTCCTGTATGGAAGATGCAGGAGCCCAGGGGGCTTTACAGATATGGGTGATTTGGGTCCTGTTCCATCTAGGATTCTGGACCTAAGACTCTTAGGGTTGCTTCTCCCACCTCATCATGAAGGAACATTGCTAGGCTGCTCACTGATGGCTCAGTGCAGAAGAGAGATATAGCCGTCTGCCTCTGTGAATACGACAGACTGGAAACCTTATGGGGCATCTGCTCGGTCCTATAGTGTCCGTGTGACCCAGAATTGACCTGACAACCACAACATATGTTGTTATTGTTGTTAAGTGCCATCGAGTCACATCTGACTCACGGTGACCCTGTTTAGGGTGTCTGAGGCTGAATCTGTGCCGGAGCAGAAAGCCTCATCTATGTTCCACAGAGCACCTGGTGGACTGTAACAGCCCAGCGGTTCCCAGTCCGGGTGCTTGTCCTACATGTGATACCATGGAAGCATCTGCCCCTCAAGGTAGCCCTCACCCTTACAGCTTCCTGCGCCGTTTGCTCACAGAGCTCTGGGTTCAGCTCATGGATGTGGTTTATTTGGGAGGGTGAGGGGTGTTGGCATGGACTTTGGGATCTACCGCACCATGGTTCCATCCGGGTTGTGAATAATACGTTTTATGCAGGACGCAGTGTTCCATAGAGAAGGCTCTCCGCCATCATCTACATTGCTATATTGCTGAAGTAGCCGTCTCTGAGTGTACTTAATAAAGGAAGCATGAGTCCAAGTCGTCCTGTTACCTGTCCACTCCGTGCAGTTGACTTTCTCAGAACCGATATTTGTTGTTGTTGTTAAATGTCATCAAGTCGGTTCCAACCCATAACCACCCTGGATAGAGTTCCCAAGGAGCAGCTGGTGAGTTTAAACTGCCGCGTTGATTGTTCAAACCAACCTTGCGGTCCAGTGCTTACCATACAGCACCACACCAGGCCTGATATTTTAGATTTTTCCTTTTCAATTAGTATTAAGGACTTATCATTTTACATTGACCTCAAATTTCTCTTTGAAAAACGGAAAATAATGGTGCCAACTTGATTCCCCAATAGTATGGAGTCAAACTGCCCTAGAGGAGTTCTGAGACAATAAATGTTTACAGAAACAAACTGCCTTACCTTTCCCCTGTGAAGCAGCTGGCTGGTGGGTTCAAAGTGCTGACCTTTCGGTTAGCTTCCCAGTGCGTAGCCAAATTAGTCTAGTTAATGTTAACTGTTCTTTTCTTATTTGAGTTCAAATTATGATGAAACTGGCAGAAGATGAAGTAGGAAAACATTTCAGGATGGTGGTTGCAGACCCTAGTGGCCAGAAAGAAAACTAAACAACACCCAGGAGCTCTGACTATTAGGAGATCCTTTGTCCTCCTGTAAGGTGAGACTCCAAGGAGCTCTGGTAGTGTAGTGGTTACAAATCGGGCTGCTAACCGCAAGTTCAGCAGTTCGAAACTACCAACTGTTCTGTGGGAGAAAGATGAGGCTTTTCTGCTCCCGTAAAGATTTACAGCCTCGGAAACCCTGTACAGGGTCGCTATGAGTCAGGAGGGACTCCAATCAGATGAACACAGAGAAAGCTTTTGTACAGTGCAGGCCTCAGAGATACTGAGGGTTCGGTCCCTCACTGCCACAAGAAGGCGAGTCATGCCCATTTTCTGTTCACTGCAAGGTTGGCAGTTCAAACCCATCAGCCAATCCTCAGAAACTCTATACAGGGTCACCATGAGTCAGAACCAACTCGATGGCACCTAACAAGAAGTGCATAGAAAAGCTGTGTCAACGCTACACTTTAAAGTGTGCTAACAGGAAGAAAACCTTTGAAGTATTGTGAGGATAAACACGGTGGTACAGAGAGACACGAGGTGAGCACACACCTTAGACACACGGTGCTGACAGGCTCCCTGTGGAGCAGGACAACCACAGACCTTCCATGTGTAACAATCGCCATGTCTTTGTGGCACAGTATAGCGAGGGCCGCTGGGTCTTTATCGAGACTTGTAGAGATTCCAGCACAGGTGATCTGGCCTCGTTTCTGTGGTCATCAGTGACTGCCCTTAATCCCGAAAGGTCAGTGGTTCTGGTCTATCCAGATGTACCTGGCATAAAAATCCAGTGAGGACCCTAGGAGCAGTTTTTCTCTGACACACACGGGGACGCCATGCCTCAGCATGGGTTCCGTGACAATGGGTGATGGGCGGTTGACCAGCATCTGTGACCAGGCCTTGTGGTGGTCTCTGTGAGGATTTGTCATTCCTGTTGCAGTCCCATTTTATGGGTGAGGAAAGTGAACCTCAGCGAGTTTAAAGGGTACAGCACATCCAGAGACTCCTTTAACGTAGCTCTTCCCGTTGTAGACCCTTACCCCAACAGCCACGTCCAATCCAAGTGCAGGGCCAGGACTTGACAAGCTTGGCCAGGCTCCTGGTACCCCAAGCTTTCTCTCACTCATGACGGGCTGTAAATGTACCTCCAGACTTCCTCTTTACCCCACTGTGTCTGCATCTGCCCAAGATATCATGACTGTACCCCATGATTTGCAGGGTTGATGTCATTTCCATCCATAGTCTGTTTTCCTAAGACATGTCAAATGTGCCCGACCTGGAGCCCTGGCCCCCGGGCTGTCTGTCTTTGTCCCTCTTCTCCTGAACCTTCACTGGCATCAGCAGAACCCGACCAGCCCTCCAGGGGGGCCGCCTCTCAAGTGTGCCGATTTGGTTGTCCCGGCCCCCCTCCCCCACCCAGGCCCTCAGATGCCTAGAGCCCCTGGCAGATGCAATTGAGCCCAAAGACACTTTCATGAGAGAGGGACCTGCTGTCTCATTAAAGCTCCACTCTTCATCCGTACCACTCTGTTTCAGAACAAGAAGAAAACTTTGAGTTCATCATTGTGTCCCTCACTGGCCAGACGTGGCACTTTGAAGCCACCACGTACGAAGAGCGGGATGCATGGGTCCAAGCCATTGAGAGTCAGATCCTGTGCAGTCTGCAATCATGTGAGAGCAGTAAGAATAAGGTAAGACCCGCAGCAGGCCGCCCCCCGAAATGAAGGGCCGCGGATCGTTAGAGGGAATTGAAGACCCAGAGCAATGCCCAGGGGACACGGAGAGAATCAAATCTAGTTTCTCTCTCTGAGCAGAAGGCAGTGTAATTGACAAGATCAAACACACTGTCTGTATACGTGCCGGATCCGCACATCCTGGCCCAGGCATGTTTATACGGTGGAACATCCCGTTCCAACTGCTGGCTCTCTCCAATCATCTCGGCTGTAAAACACTGGCCGCTTACCCATAGACGAAGACGTCCTCTGGGTTCCTGTAACTTTGTTTCCACCTTTATTTATGTTTTAGAAAGAGGGGACTCAGAAATGAGTCATGGGCTTAAAATGTGCGCACTTAGACTCTCAATCACGGTCTGAAGTTCCAGTAGGAGGGGAATGCCAAAGGTCCCTGAGAAATAGGAATTTCAAGACAAGAATTTCTCTGCAAACTTTTTTTTTTTTTTTTTTAGTGTTTATTGTGAATTATGTGGGTTTACATGGGAGAACATCAGTTTTGCATTCATCCTATCGTATTTAGTTTCATTGCAATGATTACAATCCCCGCCATCAAACAACCAAAGGGTACACCTCACAGGCCTGCACTTGTCTGTCAGCACACAGCCCCTCTCCCTCCCTGGCTCTGGTGTCCCTATCCACTCCATCTCTCCACGTCTTCATCTCTGCCTCCATTTCTGGCTTCAATGCTTCTCAGGGTAGGGTGCTGCACTCTGCTCTTCTCACTTTATGGTCCCAGGGACCTCCAGTTCTGGACTGCAAAGTCAACCACTCCCCTCCTTTTCCACAAACTTTTTGAAGCCCCCTCTTGCACATCAAGTTAGAAAGCCACTCGCGGTGAGAAAAGTAGACTCATCTCTAGGAGTGTGCCAGGAACCTGAGATAGATGCCTTTTTTATTTTTCAAACTTTGCTGAAAACACCCAAAAGACCTTTTTTATGTAAGACTTAGGAGTAGTGTTTCTCTGGTCGTTTTACCTAAAAACAAACAAATAAACCAAAGGCCCTGTAAGCTCGCATTGTTGAGACTGCTGCCCAGTGATGTCCTTTGTCTAAAAATCAAAGATTATCCCCATGCCATTCTTTCTAGCTTTTGGGTAGGGTTTGCGCCCTGGGCCCTTTGCTGGACTAGTTTAGACTCTTGGAGAGCATTGTGATATTTCAAACTGTTATCCACTAGAAACGAGAAGAGAGGTTCTCGCCCACCGACCTGCCGCTTCATCGGCCGCCTTATAAAGCAACTTGGGGCAGAGATTTATGTTTCACTTTGTCATTTAGAAAGGAATCTGTCTTTCAGGAAGATACAGTGCCCTGGTTTATTACCGTCTTTAACCAGGGTAAAGTGGGCCACAGCCATTGTTATTATAATGTAATTTGCTTCTCTTTTTCAAAGATGTTTTATACCCAAGGTGGAGAAGCATTGCCTTGGGTTTCTGAACGCTGCCTTTTTATTGAGGCATGTCCCCACTCAGCTGCCCTCCTGGCCCCCTGAAATGAGGACGGAGTGCCCTCACGTCCCCTCAATCACTGGTCACCAGTCACCAAGTACTGACCAGGGGTGGGAAGACATGCATTGCTCAACAGACAGATGCCTGTCTAAGTATGACGGACAATCACAGGTTCTCCGTCTTGAAGTCCTGGTGTGGCACCATGGACTAAGCACTGGACTGTGAACCACAAAGTCGGAGGTTCAAACCCACCAGCCGCTTCCCGGAAACCCTATATCAGATCACTGAGTCGGAATCGACTCAATGGCACTTCACAGAAATAGCAGGCAGCCTCTGCTTTCTACACACACCATCCAGGACCCTGTTCAGCCTCTGCAGATAGAAGCTTGAGATCCCTGCCCCTGCCCACTCCTGGGTCTGCACGCTCTCTGGGGGACTGGACACTGGCTCGATGAGGGTGAGACAGGAAGCTTGGAAACCATACCAGCCAGCATCGCTGGAGGAAACTAGTGGAGAGCGAGCTCTGAGATACTGGAGCTGCTGAGGGGGCACCCACAGCAGGTGAGACACAGGTAGGCCCACCTGGGAGACCTCGCGGCTTGGGTTCCAGCCCACCTCGAGACAGCGAGGCACCCACACTGTTTTGGTTTCCCCGGGCTTGGAAAAGTTGTGTCCGCTACTGGAGTCCAGTCATTATGTAATAGTATTGTTGGTGTCAAGTGCTATGAAGTTGGTTCCAACTCATAGTGACCCTGTATAGGGTTTCCGAGGAGTGGCTGGTGGGTTTGAACCACCGACCCTGTGGTTAGCAGTCCAGTGCTTATCAGGACTCCAGGTGGTTGTTGTTACCTGCTATCAAGTCGGTTCCGACTCACAGCGACCCTGTATATGGTTTCCGAGGCGTGGCTGGTGGGTTTGAACTGCCGACCTTGTGGTGAGCCATCCAGTGCTGATCCTGCAACGCCACACCAGGGGTCGGTGCAATAATACCATGATGACAAGACTTGAAATAGGGTGAACCTGTCCCAAATGAAGTTCAGAGACGCGAAGGGAGTGTACGCTGTTGGCCAAATGGCACCGATAAGGTTGCCCAGTGCACGGATGCCACAAAGCTCCTGTTTGTAAAAACTGTCATCTAGGAAGCTCAGAAAAGCAAGGTATGCCAGACTCTACCTGAGAATTACACAGATGTACACACTGCTGTAGCAACACAGGCGGGCAGACACCTGAATGTGTGTATGGCAGATACACCCCAGATGCCAATAGAAATTGCTTCTTTTCTTGTAAAGCTATAGATAACTCAGAATCAATTCATTAGCATAGGTGAATACTTAGGTATCTAAACAAAGGCAGTTTTTTTAAATAGCCAATAATTCAGTGTGTTTATTGTTTGCTGTTGTTAGGTGACCTCAAGTCAGTTCCAACTCATAGTGACCTTGTACAGGGTTTCCGAGGAGCAGCTGGTGAGTTTGAACCACCAGCCTTGCAGTGCAAACCGACCTTGTGGTCCAGTGCTTATCCTACAGAGCCACCCCAGGCCTCATCCCATTAGGCAATAGTAGTTAACCAATTATAGTTTGTTGTTGTTGGTTTTAAGTGCCATCGAGTTGGTTCCAACTCATTACAACTCCGCGGGAGAAAGATGAGGCTTTCTACTCCCGTAAAGATTTACACCCTCGGAAACCCTGTACAAGGGTCGCTATGGGTCGGAACCGACTCGACGGCACTTAACAACAACAACAACATAGGGTTTCAAAGGAGCACCTGGTATGTTTGAACCGCTGGCCTTGAAGTTCAAGTCGACCTTGCGGTCTAATGCTTATCCTAAAGCGCCACACCACCTGAAACAATTTGGAAGATAATGTTTGATGTAAGGGAGCCCTGTTGGTACATTGGTTAAAACGCTCCACCGCTAATGGAAAGGTTGACAGTTTGAACCCACCAGCTGCTCTGAGGAAGAAGATGAGGCGGTGTGCTCCCATACAGGTTTACAGCCTTGAAATCCCTACAGGGCAGTTCTACTCTGCCCTGAGTAAGCTCTGAGTTTAGATTTGGGGGGTTAGGTTACTAAGGCTTACACCCAAATTCAATCTCATCATCAGTGACCTCTGAAACTGATTAGATGATTTAGCTTTCCTCATCAGTTTGCATGTGAGCAGAGGACATGCCCTGAATCGAGCAGGAAATCCTCCTTTGTAAATCATCAAGTCATGCAAAGCATTAGCGGTGAACTTGCCCTTTACCAGCACTGTTCGTAACAGAGGAAAACCGGAAGCAACCTAGTGGTGCATCAGAGGGGAACTGATGAACACTTTGTGACATGTGGAATACTACACAGCAACTTAAAACGATGCTGTAAGAATGTATACAACGGCCTGAGGTTACATAGTGCTGATATGTGTACTGATGTCCTACGGGAAAAAGCTGGAAGACTAGATCTGTCAAGTGTTAATGATGTTCAACTGTGGATGCCAAAGAAGCCTCAGTCGTATACAGAGTGCATTAATTATGAGCTGCTAACCACAAGCTTGCTGGTTCAAACCCACCAGCCAACAGCTCCTGTGGGGAAAGATGAGGCCGTCTGCTCCCATAAAAGTTTGCAGGCTTGGAAACCCTATGGGTGATTCCACTCTGCCCTGCAGGTTGCTGTGAGTCAGAATTGACTTGATGGCAGCGTAAAGATGGTTCATACCCTAGCTGACAAATGCTTAGATCGCCGCCCCCCCATATGTCTCATAGTTGTGCCATGGCTCATGTGCTTGGGGGCATGTGTGCTGCTGGCTCATTGTGTAAACAAGATAGTAACATTCCAATTTGGGGAGCAATGCCCCCAGCTCCACCTGCACCCCCCTCCCTGCCTGAGTATGGGTTCCTTACGAGCAATTCTTCAGGAGAACCATCAAGAATTTGTTGCTATACAAGGATCACTCCCATTCCCTCTGTATGCGAGGTAGATAGGGAAAGGCAACTTAAACATTGGCTACCTAAAATGGGGGTGAGGGTAGACAATAAAGGCACTAAGTGACTGGCTTATAAGTTTTCAAAGGAGAGTTTAGTTTCAGAGTGTGTAGTACAAGAAAGAGACCCCACTGAATAGTTTTCATCTTGTCTAGACAGATCTGGTAAAAGAAGATGGGCTTAAGATTCTTATGATTCAGTAGTGAATAAATGTTACCATGACCGTCACAACTGTAGAGGTAGAAGTTTTGTAACAAAAAGGGGGAGTACTTAATCTTATAGTTCAGGAACAAGGACCCTAGGACCATCAAGGGAGAATGAATGGAATGTGGGATCGTGGATCAACTGTCAATACTCATGGAAGCAGCAGTCAAGAAATCAAACGACATATTATATTAGGCAAACGTGTTGTACAAGACCTTTTTAAAGAGTTGAAGAGCAAAGATGTCAGCTTGAGAACTAAGGAGCACCTGACCCAAGCCATGGTATTTTCAATAACCTCATATGCGTGTGAAAGCTGGACAGTGAATAAGGAAGACCATAGAAGAATTGATGCATTTCGGTTATGGTGTTGGAGGAAAATATTGAAAGTATCATGAGCTTCCAAAAGAACCAACAGATCTGTGTTGGAAGAAGTGCAGCCAGAGTGCTCCTTTGAGGCCAGGATGGCCAAACTTCGTCTCTCATGCTTTAAAATAGTGTCTAAAGGGACCAGTCGCTGGAGAAGGGTATCACATTTGGAAAGGTGGAGGGTCAGAGAAAAAGAGGAAAACCCCCAGAGAGATGAATTGGCAAAGTGGCAGCATCAATAGGCCCAAGTGTGGCAACAATAGTGAGGTTGACTGAGGACTGGGCAGTGTTTCATTCTGTTGTGCATTGGGTCACTATGAGTTGGTACCGACTCGATGGCACCTAACAACAACAACAATCCAGAGATGCAGGACACCAGAGATAGAGGCAGAAAGGAGGACATGGAGAGATGGAGCAGCTGAGGGCTCTAGACTCATGGAAAGAGAGGGACTGAGTGCTGGCAGTCAGGAGGCAGACTTGCAGAGTGTGCCCTTTGGTGGTTTAAATGATTATATATTCCTGAGTGTTTGGGTGTACAAAAATAAAACAAAAGAACAGTGGGAGTAGAAGCAAATGCTGATGGTGTAAAACCGATACTCTCCCATGTAAACTGTCACTCAGTTCACAATAAAAACTTTTTTAAAAAGAGTTTGTTGGTGCAGCTGGTCTTCAAATGAAAAGTGAAGCTCTGAATGGTGATGTGTGGTATGGACATGGTTTCTCCTGATGCTGAGTCAAGAGCGGTCTGCCAGCACTGATTGAGCCCTGACCCTAGACTTATAAACAGGTTATGCCTTCCTCCATCTTTAAGCTTCATACCAGACAGACACACACACCAACCACAGGGAAAGCAGTTCCGTTCACCCAGTGACCATGGGTCTCCTCTTCTGTTCATTCATGGCTGGTTGAGCTGGTCTTGTCTGATCAGTTTTACTATGTGATGTTTCTCCTTGGGACCCTCACTAGCCTCGTCAGTTACCCTTCTCCCTGAAGATGCAAAATCGCCCACCTACCACACGGTTTGGTGATCTGATTGGTCCCTGACAGGAGAGGTGGCTGTGTCCCTGGCTCTCAGAGCTCTCATCTTTTGCATTTGTCCATCTCCCTCTTTGTCCAGTCGCGGCTGACCAGTCAGAGCGAGGCCTTGGCCCTACAGTCGATCCGGAACGTCCGAGGGAATTCGCACTGTGTGGACTGTGAGACGCAGAGTAAGTGTGTGTGTCTGGAAAGGGGGTTCTAAGCTCGGGACTGTGGGAGGTGGGGTGCTGCCCACACTACAGTGAAGTCTGTCTTATTTGATGTGTACGGTTTAATATACGATTTAGTAGCTCTTGAGAAATTGAGTAGAATTCTCAGCTTTCATGAGGGAGACCCGGAGTCAATTCCCAGCCAATGTACCTCACGCCCAGCCTTGCGTGTGGCTAGTATGCTGAGCAGATCTTAGCAGAACTTCTAGACTGAAAAGGAGTAGGAAGAATGTCCAAAATGTAGCCAGTGATAAGCATACGGATCATAGCAGTCTGACCCACAACCCAGGGATGACACAGGACTGGGCAGGATTTTGTTCCACTGTGCACGGGGATGGAATGAGTTGGGGCCAACTCTGGGATGTTGACACAATGCCATTCACACCACAGCCTCCGCCACATTGTGCGTTCTTCCTCTGCTATGTGTGAACATTGTTGTGTGAATCTTCCGCCTCCGCTGCTCCTGAGTGTACCACATGAGTCTTGCCTGAGCTGTGGGCATCAGGATGAGCTAGCATCACCACCTCGGGGACCACAGAGTCTGCTCTCAGCCCAGGTTCTGAGCCATATGCAAGAAGCAACCTTACCAGTGATCACTTGAGGGTCTGCCTTTTCCACAGAGAACACAGTGAAATTGGCTCATTCATGCCCAGAGATTTATTTATGTATTGTTGCTATTGTTGTATTCCACGTCAGGTAGTATCCTTTTTTATTGCTGTTGTTAAATCCTCAATTCCCAATGCCCTCACTGAGGGATGTGATGGAGCCTGTCAGCCTCAGAAACCCTGTACAGGGTCGCTGTGAGTCGGAACCGACTCCATAGCACAAAACAACAACAACATAGACTACAAAGTCACTGTTTGCGGTTTCGGCATTTTGCCTTTAAGCTTCCCTTTGAGAGAGTCATTTTGTTTCTATCCTGTAAGGTGAGGACTGACTTTTTACTTTTTATTGTAGTTTGGGTGAAAGTTTACAGAACAAATTAGTTCCCCATACATCCATTTGTGACATTGGCTCCGAGCCCCTCAATACAGCAGCACTCTTCCCACTTCCTCCCTGGGTTCCCCATTCCTATTGATTATTCTTTTCTTGCCTTCTGAGCTTTGTCTTTGGGCAAATACTGATCGGTAGTGAGGAGCACATTCCTGTCTCTTTCCCATTTAATGTCTTTCGACCTTGTGTCGGAGATTGACTGTCCATAGGTGGATTGATTTACTTCTGGATTCTCAATTCTGTTCGTTGTTTTATGTGTCTGTCATTTTACCAGTACCAGGCTTTTGGGGGTGCTGTGGCTGTATGGTAGGATGTGAGATCAGGAAGTGAGAGGCCCCCTACTTTGTTCTTTTTAAATCATGCTTTGCTTACCATGGGTCACTTTCTTATCCATATAAGGCTGGTGATTAATTTCCCCATCTCTTTAAAGAACCATGTTTGAACCTGGATTGGGACTGCCTTTTATCTTTAGATTTGTTGTTGTTAAGTGCCATCGAGTCAGTTCTGACCCATAGCGATCCTTTGTAGGATTTCCAAAAACTGGCAGTTGGGTTTGAACCACCAACCTTCTGGTGAGCAATCTAGTATTGCTCCTACAGCACCACACCAGGACGCCATCTGTAGATTGCTTTGGGCAATATTGTTAAGTCTTTCTATACATGAGCCTGTATGCTCTTCCATTAATGGAGGTCTCTTGTTGAATTGGAGCTCTGGTAGCGTAGTGGTTACGAATCGGGCCGCGAACAGGTCAGCGGTTCGAAACTACCAACTGCTCCGCGGAAGAAAGATGAGGCTTTCTACTCCTGTAAAGATTTACACCCTCGGAAACCCTGTACAGGGTCGCTATGGGTCGAAACTGACTCGACGGCACTTAACAACAACAACAACTTATTATATGTCTCTTGTTTCTCTGGTGAGATTTCTTCCTAAGTATTTCATTTTTTGGATAGCAAGGAGCTCTGGTAGTGTAGTGGTTACGAATTGGGCTGCGATCCACAAGGTCAGCAGTTCAAAACTACCAGCTGTTCCACGGGAGAAAGATGAGGCTTTCTGCTCCCGTAAAGATTTATGAACCTCAGAAACCCTGTTCAGGGTCACTATGAGTCGGAACCGACTCCATGGCACATAACAACAACAACAAGGCTTTTATAAATGGTATCATTTTCTTGATTTCCTTTTCAGACGTCTCTTTATTAGTATAAAGGCATCCAACTGATTTTTGTATGTTTACCTTGTACCCAGACTTCTGGTGTGATACTATAGGACCAGCACTGGACTGTGAACTACAAAGTCAGTAGTTCAAAAACTCTTAACTGCTCCTTGGAAACCCTATACAGGATCTCTGTGAGTCAGAACTGATTCGAGACGACTTAACAACAACACAAACACCTTGTACCCTGCCACTTTGTTGGACCCTTCTATCGGTTCCAGTAGCTTTCTTCTTCAATCTGTGGGGTGTCTTTTATAGATAAGATCGTGTCATCTGCAAATAGAGATAGTTTTACTTCTTCCTTCCCAATCTGGGGGTCTCTGATTGCCCTTGCTTGCCTCGTTGCTCGGACTAGTGCTTCTAATACGATATTGAATAGGATTGGTGAGAAAGAACATCTTTGCCGAGTTCCCATTCTCTAGGAGAATACTGTCAGTCACTCTCCATTGAGAATAATGTTGGCCATTGGTTTTATAAATATGCCCATAATTATGTTGAGTTTCCTTTCTATTCCTGTTTTACTGAGAGTTATCTGGATTTGGTTTGGGGTTTGATCAGACTCCTTTTTGCATTGATTGAGATGATGACATGGCTCTTTTTCTTTGTCTAATTTATGTGGTAGATTACTTTGATTATATTTCTAATGTTGAATCATCCCTGTGTGCTGGTATGAATCTCACTTGGCTATGATGTTTGTTTGTTTTTTATATGATCTTGCATTCTGTTGGTTAGAATTTTGTTGAGAATTTGTGAATCGGTGTTCATGAGGGATATTGGTGTATAATTTTTTTCTTTAGTGGTATCTTTTCCTGGATTTGGTATCAGAGTATGCTCACTTCATAAAATTAACTAGAGAATATCCCATCCTATTCTGTGTTTTGGAATAGTTTGAGTAGCGTTGACGTCAGCTCTTCCTTGAATGTTTGTTAGAGTTCTCTAGTGAATCCCTGTGAGCCAAGATCGTTTTCATTGGGAATTGATTTTTATGGCCTGTTCAGGTTCTTTCCTTACAGATCAGCTCAGAGCGTCTGCCTCAACCTGTGTTCGTTTAGGTAGGTGATGTTTTTCTATAAGTGTGTCCGTTTCTTCAACTTCATTTTTAGATTTGTTGGCGTTCTTCATGATAGTGTTACCATCCTTTTCATTCCATTGGTTCTGTTGTGATATCACCCAGCTCATTTTCTAATTGTGTTTCTGCATCTTCTCCTTTTCTTTGTTAGATTTGCCAGTGACGCTCATTTCATTAATCCTTCCAAAGAGCCAACTTCATGGTAACACTACCATCCTTTTCATTTCCATTGGTTCTGTTGTGATATCACCCAGCTCATTTTCTAACTGTGTTTTTGCATCTTCTCCTTTTCTTTGTTAGATTTGCCAGTGACGCTCATTTTATTAATCCTTCCAAAGAGCCAACTTCTCATCGTGTTGATCTTTCGATTGTTTTTCTGCGTTCTGTTTCCATTATTTCTGCTGTAACATTTACTGTGGCTTTTCTTCTGGTGACTGTAAGCCTATTTCTGTTCTTTGTCTATAATTGTTTCCAGAGGTGTTGATTTGGGGTCTTCTGTTTTGATGCGTACCTTTATTGTTGTAAATTGACCTCTGAGCTTTTGCTGTGGGGAACTTGCTTTTAAATCTTTGAATCCATCCCTTAGCATGGTGTTGGACACATTCAGTTAACTTTTTCCATTTGCACTTTGTTTCAATGTATAAAGTAAGGAACACTTGTGGCACAATTGTTAAGTGCTGAGCTGCTAGGCTGGAGGTTCGAACCCACCCAGCAGCTCCGCGGAAGGAAAGACCTGGCAATCTGCTCCCATAAGGAGCTCCTCGGTAAGACAGGAAAGGGGAAATTTGCAATCTCTGTCTTCCTAATGGATTGGATGAGCACAGCCACTCCAACAGTGGGCTCAGACATCACAGAGCTTGTGAGGATGATGCAGGGCCAAGATCGTTGACTTCTGTTGTGTCTGGGTCACTGTGCGTCAACACTGGGCCAGTGGCAACAAGGGTGCCTGGTGCAATGCCCACCTTCTGGGACCACAAGGAGCTCTTTCTTCAGGAACCTTCGTGAATTACCTTTGTTGTGGTGGTTTGTGTTTGTCAGTTTTACTCCCAAGATGCCTGATGACATGGAAGTAGGAGAGCCATTTTTTTCAAGTGTGTTTTTATAAAGAAGTTTCCAAAGATCATTAAAAGCGCAGAAATATAAGAAACAGTAGAAAACCCACAAGGAGAAACCACTGCAGTTATCTCCATGATTTATCCAAAGATTCTTTTCAAAGAGACAGTGCAGTCACTCGTAGTTGAGTTTAGAATTATAGTAGCCTATAGCTGAGCTGTTGTTGAGTTCTGTCGAGCCAGTTCCAACTCATAGCCACCCTGTAGAGGGTGTCTGTGAAGCAGCTGGTGGGTTTGAACTGCTGACCTTGTGGTTCGCAGTCAAGTGCCAATCCTACAGTGCCACACCAGAACTAGTATGTAGTATATAGAACTGCTGGAGTAACAAAGTTCCCCAGTTGTAACTGTGCTTCACACTGAGGGAACATGGTATTTGGCAATTAGGAGGTAGCACCTTCTGAAGAAACACTGTAAACTGGAATGGTTGGGCAGAGGGCATCCGAACGGTTCAGAGAAGGCTGGGGGACCACTTTGTTTAGATGAGGCTACCTGAGCAGATGCCCCGAGAGACTAGGGACAAGCAGAGGGTGAGAATTTGGCGATTCAGGAGAACATTGACAAGGCCCAATTTCTTAAACAGCTTTTCTCGGTTGGGCAGAGCTGAACACCCTCATGGATTTTTTTCTGATTCTTCCAGTCTTGCCGTGGTTGGTGCTGCTGCAAGCCCCGTTTTTCAGGTGGGGAAATGAAGGGTCTGAGACATCAAGTCATGTGTCCAAATTGTGTTGCAGGATTCGTAGGAAGTGCTTCAGGCTGAGTGTTCTATATTTCCTCAGAGAACAAAGCTCTGAGAGGACTCAAGAGGCTGAGGTCAAAGGCATACATAGATTACACATGGACAAAGATTTTTGACAGTAACAATCTCCAGTTTGGGAGCATGCTGGGAACTGTGCATGCATCCAGATCGGCCATGTTCTTAGAAAGCCTCTAAAGGTTGACTGTCCCTCACTCCAACTTCAGCCTCTAAGAACCAAACCAATGGCAACGAGCAAGGTACACACAAAGATGTTCACCACAGTGTTGTTTATCTACCCCCCAAAAATTAGAAACATCCCAGATGTCAAAAACTGAAAGGTCTCCTCACGGTGAGATGACGCACAGATATTATGTGAAAATAGACCAAGGAAACTGGAGAAGCTTTGGAATGTGTTTGTTAAATGAATGAGGATTCAGGCAGGGCAGAGCTAAAGGATACTGCTGGGAATCTTGTTAGGTGTTTTGAGAGAGGAAATGTCTGTAAGGATGTGTTTTAAGAATGTGAATACAGTTATCTTTGAGTGATGGGGTTAGGGTTATCTCATTCTTCTATAATAGCATCTTCCATGTTTTGTCATATTTAAGAGTTAGAGCAATAGAGATAATCAGATGGGGTTGGATTTGAGAAAGATTGGAACTTGGTGATTGGTTATGTTTTTGTTATTGTTCGGTGCCGTTGAAACAGCTCCAACGTATACTGACCTCGTGCACAACAGAATGAAATACTGCCTTGTGTCTTGCTTTGTGATTGTTCTGTTGGATCCCATTACTGATGCCGCCGTGTCGGTCCATCTCCTTAGGGGTCTTCCTCTCTCTAGCTGACGCTTTCTGCTTTACCAAGCATGATGTCCCTCTCCAAGGACTGGTCCCTCCTGATAACGTGTCCAAAGTATGTGAGATGAAGTCTCCCCATCCTGGCTTCTAAGGAACATTGTGGTTGTACTTCCTCCAAGACAGATTTCTCTGTTCTTCTGGCAATCCCATCCACTTTGAATATTCTCCTCCAACTCCACAACTCAAATGCGTCATTTCTTCTGTAGTCTTCCAGTATTCACTGTCCAGCATTCACATGCAAATGAGACGCTTAAAAACACTCAGGTGTAACTTAGTCCTCAAAGTGACATCTTTGCTCTTTAACACTTTTAAAGAGGTCTTTTGAAGCAGATTTGTCCAATTCAATCTGTCCTTTGATTTCTTGACTGCTGCTTCCATGAAATTAATTGTGGATCCAAGTAAAATAAAATCTTTGATAGCTTCAATCTTTTTTCCATTGATCGTGGAGTTGTTTATTGGTCCAATGATTGACTAGAGGAATGAGGGAAAACTCAAGGTTTATCTTCAGGCACCCGAATGATCACCACCATCTTGCCAGTAGTGAAGAGTGGAAGACGTGTGAATTTCTCAGCGGTTTCCCTTAAATAAGATCGTGGGGCATGTCTCTCTTTGTTCATTGACATGTCCAGACATGTTTGTTATGTGACTGTTGAAAACATTGGTGTGCCAGGAATGTCTGTGAGGGGTATGATGGCATCAGGAATGACAAAGATCCTGGGTAGCAGCTAGCCACCCCTTCTCTTTCCTTTGATCTACCATCGTCCATAGTGGATACTAGTTCAAGTACTTGCATTTCCATCAATATCTGCCCTCTTGACTTGAGGGTTACTTTTAATGTATCTGTTGGTTCACTGTGAGTCAGAACCAACTTGGCCCAGTGGGAAGTGGTGATTGATGTATTGTGAAGTGTGTGTTTGGCGGGGGGTAGTGGTGGTATTACCATTAAGTCAGTTCCAACTCATAATGACCCTGTTTAAGATTTCCAAGTGCTGTAAATCTTTATGGGAGCAGAAAGCCTCATCATTTTCCCGCAGAGTGATTGGTGGATACGAACTGCTGACCTTGTGGTTAGCAGCCTAGGGTGTAACCACCATGCTGGCAGAGCTCCTTATTGAAAAGTATGTCTTTAACCAAACGAACACTTGTAATTGTGTATTGTGCAAGATACACAGCTTCAGCTCAAGCCAAAAATTTGAAAGTTGCCACCAACCTGTCAAATCTTTCAGCCAGGGGTCAGTCCCGTGGGCTTCTGGGAAGGGGCTGCTGGGTTTTAAGTTGATCGTGTTCTGATGGTGTGTTTTGTTCCGAATCTGAGAGCCTTTGGGGCTCCTCCTGAAGGTGGCTCCCTGTCCCTCTCTCCACAGATCCAAACTGGGCCAGCTTGAACTTGGGCGCTCTTATGTGCATTGAGTGCTCAGGAATCCACCGTAACCTTGGTACCCACCTTTCCCGTGTCCGCTCGCTGGACCTCGACGACTGGCCCATTGAACTTACCAAGGTGATGTCCTCCATCGGGAATGAGCTGGCCAACAGCGTCTGGGAAGAGAGCTGCCAGGGGCGGACGAAACCCTCGCTAGACTCCACAAGGTAGGAACCTTGGAAGCCGTGTGGTTACTAGTGCATTTGGTCAACAGTTGAAACTTGTCCGGAAGTAGCCTTCAGGACCATAGGGATGGCCCCGGCAGGCTGTAGGGACGCTGGTGAGCTGCGTGCACAGAAAGCTCCATATTTCAAGCTGGTCTTCAGCAGACGTGGGCCATTTACACTCCTTGTTTTTTAATGTTTGCTTTGTGGCTTTGTGGGGTCCGCTTCCTCTCTCAAAAATGTATTACATTTCTAACCCTGGGAATATATTACTTGAATTAACACATTTCTAATAGAGAGAAGCTGTGCTGCTAACACTAATTAGGGTTTTGTGGGGTTTTTTTTTTACTCTATCGTTTTATTATTTCTGTGTCTGTGGTAAGCATCTCTTCCTTTGGTGCTTCCCCTCCTACCCCTGAAATCAAATAACATATTTTACTGTTAAAATACATTTCTAATGCATTTAATCAGTCAAGTATGGCTACTCCTCATTAATGTTAATTGTCATCCAGTGGAAAAATCTCCTTTATTTTGGAACCATTTTGTTTCTCATTTTTCACGTGCCGCGATTGCAAACCGCCTGTTGAGCATACATGCAGACTTCATGTTCCTAAGAGGTGATGAAAGCCCACGTCCTCTCAAAAGTCAGGGGTCTCTGGTCTAGTCACAATGGACCATTCCCTGTCCTGAGCTGTCTGACTGAAGGGGTTTCCGGAGCAGCTCAGAAACAGTGTGGGGCGTCTCCCCAACGTGAAGTACGGCTGGGGACTTGCTTTCAGTCCTCCGGTATCAAGTGGTGAAGAGAAGGGAAACAAAGAGCTTTCCATTCCGCAAGCCTTTTCAGGATCTCAGTTTGAGTGAAGCTTCGAGAGTCCCAGGTGAAGCATAATGATGCCCTAATGCTAGCTCATTCCGTAAGAAGAGGGGTGGGTGGACTTAGTTCCACAGACACTGAGAGATGAATTTGTAGTACCACCTTGATTTCCTGTGAGTGAAGCCAGTGTGTGAATCTCGCTCCTCTTGTTGGTTGACTAGGAGTGTGGTTGGGGTGGAATGGTTGGACACCACAGTGTGTGTATGTTGTTTAGACTTGCTTCCCTTTGATAGGTGCATTCCTTCTCTGGGTTTTGCAATGTAATGTACTACACGTGCGTTACTTTGTTACAAACGGGAGAACTGATACACTGTAAGACATTATTTTGATTTAACACTAACTTCGAAATTGGCTAGCTCGTCAGTTTTCAGCATTTTACAAAGGCTTATTTACATCTTAATATCCATTGTTTCTTAGATCTGGTATTCTTAAAGGATAATTCAGGTTGTTGTTGTTATGTGCCATGGAGTTGGTTCCAACCCATCACGACCCTGTACAGGGTTTCTGAGGCTGTAAATCTTTACCGGAGCAGAAAGCCTCATCTTTCTCCCGCGGAACAGCTGGTAGTTTCAAACTGCTGACTGTGAGATTAGCAGCCCGATTTGTAACCACTACACTAATGAAAAATGATTGGCAGTGAGATGGAATGGAACGTCCAGATACAGAAATCATTGACAAAACCAGCTTATATGAGGGGGGCTTCCAAACATTCGTGGAAAAATGGAATTCAAAGATGGCGGGATTTTCCTATGAACGTTTTGAAGCCCCCCCTTGGAACTTGAACATCTTACTGTGTGTGAACAAGGAACATATATACTATTTTTAACATGATGAGTGAATAAGAAAAGTTTTCTCTATGTATCATAATTAGTAAAGCTACTTGGAATGGCTAGAAACCAATGTGTGGATTCATTTCTTTAACTGATACTCATTTCATATTAATGTCATCTTTGTTGTGTGGCTAAGTGCCATCAATTTGGTTCTAGCTCATAGTTTCCAAGGAGTGACTAGAGGGTTTGAACCGCCAACCTTGTGGCTAACAATCCAGTGTTGACCCTACAGCATCACACTAGGACTCCGTGTCAGCTCTAGTCCTAAAAAGGGACGGATACAAGAATTTTTTCAATCTAACTGGTATATGTGAACTGAGTTCTTGAGCGGGTATGTCTCTTCGATCCGGCATGAAGTGTGTACCATGTCTGTCAGCCACGCAGCCGCAGCCTTCCTTTGACACGATGGAGTCAAGCTCCTCCTTTTTTCTTAGTCAAGCTCACGTTCCTAAAGAGAGGTCTTCTTTCCCTGGAACTTCCAAAGTTAGCTTTTGAAGGTCTGAAAGGCCTTTGAGAAGATCCGTAGGTATGAATACTGGATGTGTCCTTGCACCTGTCGTCATTCTCCCAGGGAACCTTGTTGCTCATTAAATCCAGCAAATACAGGCATACCTCATTCCCTTGCGGTTTGCAGGTGCTATGTTTTTCACTAATTGAAGGTTTGTGGCAATCCTGCGTTGAGCAGGTCTGGGGGCACCATTTTCCCATAAGCCTGTGCTCACTTGCTGTCTCTGTGTCCAGTGTTGGTCATTCTTGCATCCTTCCGCACGTCTGCAGACTGCTCTGGCAGCCTTCCCAGAGCACAGCACAGTGTTGCCATTACTTTTATTGCACTGGGGAACCAGGAAAAGGGTGTGAGTCACATGATTGGGGTATCCCCATGGTTGTAGTGGTCTGGAACCGAGCCTGAGGTATCTCCCTGTCCATCAGTACTCACTGAGCACCTGCTGATAGAAAGAAAGAGATAGTAGGTGGGCCTTGTAACTCTACAGGGTCAGCTCGGACGAGGGGTGGGGGCAGGTCTCGATGAATTTGGAGAGAGGAAAGATGTCTACAACTAGTGTGCTTGGCCACCTTTTCAATACAGAGAAGCCACCACCGAGGCCGGGACTCAAAATACGGGGCCGTCTCCAGGGCCAAGAGGGCACAGGGTGAAGGGACCTGGGCAGACCTCGTAGCCCCATGGGAAGTGTGGGAATCGCGAGTCATTCATGGAGCTGGGTAAGACCCCCAACCAAGCAACACCTGGGTGCTCTGGAGCCAGACAATGAATCCTGTGGTGGCGCGGAAGGTGAGCCGTGTGCTCTGTGTATTTGTACCCCAAAGAACTGGAGGGAAGTTGGAAGTGTTGCCCTCGTCCTTGTGGAATGTAGGACACATACACCGTGACCACCTCCAGCTTGTCAGTGTGTCCCACTGTGGTGGCGTGCATGCGGCTGCGATGCTGGAGGCTGTGCCACCCGCATTTCAGATCCCAACAGAGTGGTCACCCTTGGTGGACAGGTTTCAGCTGAGCTTCCAGACTGAAACAGGCTAGGAGGATAGCCTTGGTGATCTACAGGAAGTCCTGGGCTTCGAAACCTCTGATTATGGACAACCCATGTTGTTTAGTGCCGTTGAGTCGGTTCCAGCTCACAACGACCCTGTGTAGGGTTTCTGAAGAGCAGTTGGTGGGTTTGAACCACCAACTTCATGATTCTCAGTCCAGTGCTGTTCCCACAGCTCCGCAACAGAGTTCAATTACCCTGTACCACCTGCTATATTAAAAATTCAAGGTGCATACAATAATTTGTAATAACAAATGGGTACTACTTTGGTACACACATGAAAATGTTGTTATTTTGTATGTGCTATTTTGGTGTGGCGCTGTGGGTTAATGTGCCAGACTGCAAAGCCATTTGAACTGCAAGGTCGGCAGTTCAGCTCACCAGCTCCTCCTCGGAAACCCTAGACAGGGTTGCTATCGGGAGGAATCGACTCGACAGCACTTCATGGCAACAACAACAACATTGTGTTTCTGTAATGTTTTTCATGCATAGAAAGGTGCGTTGTGGACTGTATCCTAAGATAAAAAGTCAACTGACGTTAGAGAAGAACCTTCCGTATCCACCTGGTCTGACATAAGTACAAATTCCACTTAAAGACAGACTTAGGGACGGAGCTCGTTAGTAAAATGGGGACTGCCCATACTTCTGGAAGTCAGCCAATGAAAAGCCTATAGGTCACAGCAGAACATTGTCCAGTAGAGTGCTGGGAGATGGAGCCCCCCAGGTTGGAAGACGTTCAAAATATACAGTGGACACAACACCAAATGTGAACATATCAGTGATGGTGGCCAGCACGACACTGAACAGAACGGATACACTGTTTTGTTTGTTTATTTGTATACTTTTTATTGTGCTCTGAATACACATATGTAGCAAATCAGTTCTCCACTCACCAATCCATAGACATTTTGTTTCTTGACATAGATTGCAGTCCCCACCATGGAACAGCACTCTTCCTACTTCCTCTCTGTACTGCCCACTTCCATTTGCCCACCCTTCCACACACAGCTTAGCCTAATCCATGATCACCATTCAAACACCCCCACCACACTGCAACCATCACCTCATTTATTCGGAACTGGAAAACTCAAAAGTAAGGGCTGGGAATTCAGATTCCACCTCTTCCAAACAAGAAAGCAGACCACAATCCAACATTTCTCTAGTCAGAATCCTCTCTGTGGGTGGAGGCTTAAGATAGCATTGCAAAGAAACATTCAGTTACATGTTATCACTAAGGAAAAGGCAAGGTGTCTTGATGGCGAAGGAGGTTCAGCATTTGGGCCACTAACCACAAGGTCAACGGTTCAAGCCCACCAGCCATTCTGCGGGAAACATATGAGGCTGTCTACTCCCTAAAAGATTTACAGCCTCAGAAACCCTAAGGAGTAGTTCTGCTCTGCCTGTAGGGTCGCTATGGAGCCCTCTCGTTGGCAGTGGAAAGCCAAGTGTGATATATTCCATCTCCTTCTCTGAAAAGGGGCCCAGATGGTCACTGGAGAAGCCCCCGTCCATTCCATCTTGTTGAGAAGATTCAATCTGACAGTGGGACGTAATTAAGAATGTGCAGCACACAGACAAAAATGTCAAAACACACACAGGATCAGCACCATGGACAAATGTAACAGAACAAGATCATCTCCAAGGAAACCCCCAGTCTCCAAAACAACTGGGTGCATGCCAGTCACCCAGACGTGAGGGTGAGTTAGGAAAACAGGCACCTTTGAACAGCTGGCTGGCTTGCTTTCTGCATGC